ACCTTTTTGGCCAACATTCCCAAGCCACTGTGACCACCAGCTTCTCCCAAGCACCAGCCAGGATTCCTGTCAAGTGCTATGATGCAGTCAGATGGGTCACCATGCTGTGGAGTGCCCATCTCCTAAACCTCAACCAGGAGCATGCAAGTTGCCACCACAAAGCTGGCAAAAGCTCCCAGAGGGGGAAGAGAAAAGACAAACTGGGCACATCAGGACCCGATCACTGAGGCCTCACCTCCCACCAAGCTCAAGGCCAAAACCTGATCCGAGCCACAGCAGATGCCGGCACCTTACGACAGTGACAAGGAAGGCAAGGAGGACCCCATGGTGAGTCAACCCATTCCTGCCTTTGCCATTCCCGCCAATAGTCCCCAAAACGGGGCCGTATGATCTTGAATGTCCTAATAGACTCATGGTGCACTTGATGTTTAATTAACCTACCTACCATATCAAACTGGGCATTCGAGTCAAACTACTGCCCCGTCGGTTTGAGCAAGCCGACGGGTCCCTCATCAGAGATACCCCTGCCATGCACCTAGCAGAACCTGTGCATTTGGAAATGGGTCGGCATTGGGAAATCATCCGTTTTGTGGTGCTTCCAAAGATGACTGAAGCAGTAATTCTGGGACTAGCGTGGATTGATAAATGGTGTCCTAATATCTGGTGGGAGGAGGGAATGCAGAAGTTAAGATTGGGGACAGGACTCCTCCCACCTGCTGCTAATGATAACATAAAGGCACTTGCCATCAGCGAAATTCAAGGGGAGCCCTGTGAAACCCTAAAGACTGTAGCCAAAAAGCTGCTGAGGATTCAACTTGTCCCAACTGAATACCGTGATTTGGCGGAAGCATTTAGTGAGAAGGAATGTGACATCCTCCCCCCCCCCACTGGGCTACAGACTGTGCCATTGAAATTCTGCCTGGTGCCAAGCTCCCAAAATCAAAGATGTACTTTATGATGCCCAGAGAGATGAAAGAACTTACATTGATAAAAACTTAACTCGAGGTTTCATTCAGCCAGCCAAATCATGCATAGCTGCACCCATGCTATACAAGAAGAAAGATGTGTCACTTAGATTATGTGTTGATTTTAAAGAGTTAAACGCTGTCAGTAGAGCGCACCTCCTCCTCTGATGAAGGACATATTAGCCCTTCTGGCTAAAGGAAAAATCATTACCAACCTGGATTTAAAAGAGGCTTATTAACGAATCCGGATTAAGGAAGGGGATGAGTGGAAAACTGCCTTCAATTGCTCTTTGGGAAGTTTCCAATTTAAAGTGATACATTTTGGGCTGCAGGACCCCCCGGCTATACTCATGCAATTGATAAATCAAGTGCTCCATGATAAGTTATACAAGGGTTTTTTAGTTTATCTTGATGACATCCTTCCATCCATGGAAGAACACATCAAATTGGTCCATGAGGTGCTAAAGAGACTGTTAAAAGCCAAACTATATGCAAAGCTGTCAAAGTGTGAATTTCACCAGACACATCTTGATTATCTGGCGTATCAGATTTCAAATGAGGGGATAGAGATGGACCCCGCCAAAGTAGAAGTGTACTAGAATGGCAACCTCCACAAACCCGTAAGCAACCTCAAAGCTTTCTGGGTTTTGCCAACTCTTAGCGTCAATTTATTCCCTCTTTTGCGAAGATAACCATGCCAACCACTGATTTACTCAAAACAGGAAAAGGAGGGAGAAAGCTCCTTGTCAGCTCCTTGTCAGCCATTGCAGTGGTCATTAGAATACCAAGCTGCATTTGAGAAACTAAAAGAGACTCTTTGCAGCTGAACCAGTTCTTAAGCACCCTGACCCTGAACAGCAATTCATCATTCAAGCCGATGCGAGTAACATGGCCCTGGGGGCTGTTCTCTTACAAAAAAAACACAGGGGGGAATTACAACCCTGCGCTTATACTTCCCGAAAATTAACTGACACTGAGAGGAGGTGGGCTGTTTGGGAGAAAGAGGCTTTTGCAGTTTGGTGGGCATTGCTAACATGGTGTCATTTCTTCGAGGGGGGGGAAATACCTTTTGAGGTATTTGGACTGATCATAAGAATTTGGAGGCTCTGAAAACCCCATGCAAATTATCCCTGAAGTAAGTTCAGTGGGCTCAGTACTTTAACCATTTTAATTTTACCTTAAAATGTTTTCCAAGGGATAAGAATTTTTTGGCTGATGCTTTATCTAGAATGCCTCAGTTAAAGAGCCACCGAAAGGAAGTAATTAACTCCATTATTTCTCTGCCACAATCTGCTTCTCAAATAATAACCAGATCGCAAACACAGTGACCACCTGCCTGTCCTGACAATTGCTTACTGAAGGAACTAAAAGAGAAATTAGAGAGTGACACCTGTTTCAAAGAAAACAAATCTATTTTAACCCTAAGGGGGGGACTAGCCTGGAAGGGCTCTAAATTGTACCTCCCACATGGCCTCAGATTTCAAGCATGTCACTTTGGATTTTTTGAAAACATTGCATCTGGTGTGAAGGCAATTCTGGTGGCCAGGGATGAAAAAAGACATTGAGAGTTATGTTAAGAGTTGTGCCACCTGTGTTGCCATGAAGAGACATTCTGGAAAACCCCCAGGATTGCTGCAACAAGTTGCTGATCCTTCCCAGCCTTGGGAGAAAATAGCCATGGATTTTATAGTGGAGTTGCCTGAGAACAAGGGAAACACTGTAATATGGACTGTGATTGATCTATTTTCCAAACAAGCACATTTCATCGCTTGTTCGGGACTTCCCTCTGCCCAGAAGCTGACCAAGCTGTTTTTGAAAAACATATATTGACTCCATGGAGCCCCAAAATGGATTATTTCTGACAGGGGGATCCAGTTTACTGCTAAACAGATTGGGTCGACTCAGGGGCTTTTGTCGGTTTTTCACCCGAGTACAAATGGAGAAGCTGAAAAAGCTAATGCAATGGTGGAACAGTACCTCAGATGTTATGTTAATTACCAGGATACTAATTGGGCTGACCTCCTGCCTTTCGCAGAGGTAGCCTACAACAATACTGTGCACAGTAGCACTGGTCTCACCCCATTTAAAATAGTAATGGGCCAAGATTTTGTGCCTATGCCTGAATACCCACAGGAGCCTCCTACTTCCCAGACTTTGGATCAATGGGTGAAATCTTTCAAGGCAGTTTGGGTGAATGTGAAGAAAGCATTGGCCAAAGCTACCAAGGTTTACAAGGAGCAAGCAGTTAAATGACGCTCCACTCAAAAACCTTTTATGTTGGGCAATTAGTTTATCTTTCAACAAAATATTTAAGGTTAAAGTTACCCAGCAGAAAATTGAGGCCAAAGTTCCTTGGTCCTTTTCCCATCACCAAGATCATAAACCCTGTTACAGTGGAATTGAAACTTCCGCGATTGTTGGGAAAAGTTCATTGTATTTCATTGTAGTCTATTGAAATCTGTGTCTGAATCCTCTTTAAGACCTATTCCAAAGAAACCACCGGGTCCAGTAGTGGTAGAGGGGACACACATTATGAAATAAAATGAATTCTTGATTCTAGGTTGTATAAGGGAAAGTTACAGTACCTCATTCAGTGGAAAGGCTATAACCCCTGTCAGAAGCTACATGGGTGAAATGTACCAATGTGAAAGTGCACAAATTAATAAATTTTTTACGATAAATATCCTCACAAGCCTCAAGGAAATACTTAACCTATTTTTTGCTTCTCCTACAGGAGATTCTTTCTTTTTGAGAAGGACCGACTGTCAAATCTACAAATGAGCATGGCTGCAGCAATTTTTCCTTCTCATTCTAGGTTGCCACATAGAATGGAGGGAGGGGGTTTGCCCAGGTGCTTCGTTAGTCAAAATAATCTTCTGTCCCATGGGAACCAAGGTCATCAGCTACTCCTGAGACTAGGGCCTCGGTGTTGCATAAAAAGCCCGCCAAATAATATTGGGGAATGTAGTTGCTTGCATAGTTTTATGGGCAGGACATTTAGCTTTGTATTGGGCAATTGTTACTTGTGTATTCAGACTTGGTTTCACTTTTGACCATGCCCATACTTTGTAATTAATAAACATGTTCTTTGAGGAATTCTCAAGCCTCGGAGTTCTGCTTTATTTGTCTCTGTCGGAACCATGACACCCTGATCCTAGGACTTGTGTGGTTCAAAAAGTAAAAACCCTGCCTAGACTGGTAGCAAAACTGGATGAAGATGTGGAAGAAACACTCTGATAAGAAAACTGCTATGAAAGTTGAAAAAGTGCTAAAAAAGTGCCCATGAGCAACTAATTAGAAAAGCAAAAGTTGAAGGTCAGGGCAAAACCTAGGCGGAAAAGGGGCCAAATCCATTGTTCCTAGTGAGGACTGCAATCTGGCCAAGGAGTTCAGTGAAATGGTGTCTGACATGCTCTCCCCTCACTGCCACACAGACTGTGCCATTGCAATTGTCCCCAGGGCCAAACTACCAAAACCTAAAGTTTACTTGATGATGCTCCGAGAACTGGACAAGCTCCTGTCATTCACTGACAAGAATTTGGCCAAGAGTTTCATTCAGCCGGCAAAATCATGCATTAGAGCTCCTATGTTTTCCGTGAGACTAGAGATATAGCTTGCTTAATTTATGCTTAGATTACCTCGACTTGAATGCGATCTGTGTGGAGAATGTGTATCAACTGTGCCGATACTTCGTAACTAATAAACACATTCTTTGAGGAATTTGCAAGCCTTGGAGTTCTGCTTTATTTGTCTCTGTCTGTTGGAACCATGACACCCTTCTTGTAAGTTGAGCGAACTATTTTCCGAATACATTCTTCCCAGTTCTTGTGAGTGCAGCCCATCCCTTGCCAGAAGCCTTTCATGTAGGTAATGCAGACCCTGGTCTATGATCTAGGTGATGCTGGCTGGGGAGTTCTGGGAGTTGAAATGCACACATCTTAAATTTCCCAAAGTTGAAAAACACTGAATTGGGCAGTGATCTGTATTCAGCCATTCTGCACTGAGGCATCTAACAACATACAATAACGAACTTACCTTTTTATAAACGATCACAAGGTCCATCTCTTGGTCTCCCTTTGTAAGAAACAATGGAGGCCTTGTAAGGGATTGTTTAACAGGATTGGTCAATGCTAAAATTTGACCATCATCTCCAAACCACTTTTTCCCCTGCAAAATAGAGGACATAAAAACATTTTAATTTTGCCAGAAGTATCTTGTTAAAACTATACCATTCTTCAGAAAATGAAAGTTAACAATCAATAAGAAATTAAGCTTTGGTTCCAGTCTTACCTGATTTTTTAAAATCTCCTTTGATTATTTTTCATGTAATGGGAAACAGGAATGTAAATCAGCTACTATTATGATTAGTTTCTAAACAGGTACTAGTTTTAGTGTTTCTATTACTTTCAGATACGTTTGTCAACGTTGCTAATATTGGATGTTCCTGCTCTGACAACTGATGAAAATGCAGCCATTTTCTCTTCTCCTTTAACATGCTTTTCTTTACTTTTAGAATTCAGGTGCAATGGGGAGGGTTGGGATTTAAGCTCAGTTAGCCATAATAATAACGCTGCCATGGGAACTCAAGGATGAGCTGATAATGTTTTGGTGGGCTGAGGAGTGAGGAGAAAGCCCGTGCTTGAAGCTAATTGGGGAATGTGTTTTATGACAGTTTATTGGGGGGTGGGAATTGTACTTTGTTACTTTGTATCAGGGGGAAGGGAATTTAGTTTTTGGGTTCAACTATGTAGTGCCGATAGTTTGTTTCCCAAATAAATGTTCTTTAAGGAAGAATTTTGCCTCGAAGTTCTTTTGATGGGTTTCATCTATCGGAACCATGACAACGTTGCTATTTTTATTGCATTGATTATTGTTATGCATGTTTCTTATGAAGTTTCTTTAACAAAGAGTAGTATGCAAATATTGTAAGTAAAATGACTTTTCTTTTTAAAAAAAGGTAGCATCACCTCCATATCCAGGAATATGTCAGACTTTCCAATGAGTCTTCTTAAAAATAGAAGATGGTTGGATTCTAGTTTTTGAGTCAGAAATGTATCAGTTGGCCCAGAAGAAAGACAAACGTGGCATAGAGAATGACAGAAAGAGGCTGCCTTCTAGTAAGCTGATGTTCATGACTTTCCCGGCAGCCATTTTGTGATCTGCTAGCCCATGATGGCAGCCATTTTTTGAGGTCCCTAAGAACATGTTCTTAAAATCCCAATGGTCACACTAATTTCAAAGGTTTTGGGAACAATGAAGTAATGGCAATAATTCTGAAAAGTTTATATATGAACCCCTTATTTGAGAATAGTCAAACCCAAGATATACAGTATTTAACCTTTATTTCTATGCCCCAGAATTCTTGGAATTTTCCTGAAGTCAGACATTTCACTTTAGGTATCTACTCTTCTGTCAAAAGAGAAAAATCCCACCTTGGCAAACAGTCAAAGAAGGAAGTGACTGCAGAGGATGGATTGGGATGGGCTGAGATGGGACAGACTCAGATTCTGAAGGATCTTTCCCCTTCCCAAAGTTTTCAAGGCTCCAACATCATAACAGCCAACTCCTTGCTATCAAGCTCACCCCAATACCTTCAATACCTTCAATGGAGGGATAGAATGACTAATTTAAAAAAGTCATTAAAGGATAGAAATTGGCATTTGTCTCTCTGTTCACATTTCCATTCTGCTGAGCTGTACAGAAGTGATTCTAGCATTCAGCCCTATTACTTACAGTGCTTCAGTGGAATGGAACAACTCACAGTGGCCAGGTTGACGTGTATGGGTGAGTGTGGCCAGGTGGATGCAGCTGGATTGGTGCAATTGTGGGCACCACCAGATGGGCATGGCTGATTGGGTGTGGCCAGATGGGCATGGCCAGGTGGGTGCAATGGGTGGGCATGGCTGAGTTGGCATGGAATAAGTCGCAATGGCTAACTGAACATGGGGACAACTTGGCGTCCTTGCTTCCCTGAACTGCCGGTAGCCAAACATGTGCACACAAACACACACATATACAAACAAAATCCCATTTCCAGTTTGGGGATTTTTATCCACATCCGTGCTGGGAAATTGTCAATTGCTACTAAGTGCTCACTCGCACACACCCACACATACACTGTCATGTCTCTGTCCGAGCCTGAATCGGAGGAGGAAATGGAGTCAGCACAGGACCCTGTTGAGGCCCAGGAGGGGGTGTCTGTGCCTTCGGAGGACTGTAGGGAGACGCAGGCTGAGGCAGGCCAGGGTCCTTCAGGTTTGGAACAGGGGAGGCAGAGTTCAGGCAAGGAGTAAACCCCCCCCACCCAATCCTAGAGCAAGGAGAGCAGAGAGGAGGAGAGAACAACAGAGGCAGTCTCAATTGCTCAGGAGGAGAGCGGCCCACCCCACTCCACAGGGCACACCTGGGGATTAAGATTTAAGGAGACATTGTGGGGTGGGGCATTTGCTGGGAACAAACGTGGTATCTTGAGATAGTTGTGAATTGTGCTCTTGTCTTTGTTTAACCTGGACATTTTGAATTCTGGACCGGTTGGTTTCCTGCTTCATGACCACAGACTGCATTTCTGAGTCTCTTCTTGCAGTCTGCAGGCAAGCTGAGAGTTAAAAGGACTCATTATGTTTCTGTTTTGTTTTCTTGTTATCTGTCTTGCCTTGAGGACATTGTAAACTTCTCCAGCTATATTGAAATTGCCTTTAGCCAGAGGTAGCTGAAAGGAAGATGTGTGTGTGTGTGTGTGTGTGTGTGTGTGTGTGTGTGTGTGCTTTGGCTGAACTCTTGCCAGCATATGTGGGAGCTTTTGGGGAACATTGGCAGTGATTAAAGGACTGTTTCTTTTGCCAGCTGACTGCTTTGCCTCTGTTCGGGGCCCTAGGTCATCTCACACACATACACACACACACACACACACCCCATTCTTAATTTGGGGAATTTTATTCACAGACCTGGGAAGCTGCCAATTGTGCCTGGGCTCCAGGAGAAGAACCTCGTTTGTCAATGTGCACTCATGTACACACACACACACACACACACACACACACACACACACACACACACCATTCTAAGTTTGGAAACTTTTATCCAGAGGGCTGGGAAGTTGTCAATTTCACCCAGATTTGGGGAGTAGGACCTCTCCTTTGTCATGTTGGGTGCGTGCACGTGCACTCACACACCCTTCTGAGCTTGGGGACTTGCCTCATTCTGGCAGTAAGATGCAGATCATGGACAGCAGGGAACAGCTGAGAGCCATCACAGGAAACCTAAAGTTTGGTCTGGAGGAAGTTTGCAAAAGGAGGTACTGTTAATCAAGGTGTGGAAGGAAAACAGTTTATAAAAGTCCCCAAGCTCAGAACAGTGTGTGTATGTGCATGTGTACACAGCATGCCAAAAATGAAGTCCTTCCCTCCAAGCCCAGGTGCAACTGGCAGCTTCCCATCATGAATGCAGATAAAAGTCACTAAACTCAAAATGAGGTATCTGTGTGTGCCATGCGTGAGCACCCAGCACACCAAAGGAGAGGTTCTTCTCCCCAAGCCTGGGTGCAATTGGCAACTTCCAAGCACAGATACAGATAAAAGTCCCCAAACGCAGAATGGCACTTCTGTGTCTTTGTGTGTGCATGCCTGCCTGCACATCATGCCAAAGAGGTCCTTCTCCCCACACTTGGGAGTGATTGGCAGTTTCCCAACATGGATGCAGATAAAAGTCCCCAAACATGGAATGGAGTGTCTACATGCTTGTGTGTATATGCACGTGTTTTGCTGCCAGCAGTTCGGGGAGGCAAGGAGCTGGTGGGGTGCCAAGTTGTCCCCACATCCAGGTAGCCAGTGCGACTTGTTCTGTGTTAACCCAGCCACACCCACTCATCTGCACCCATTTGGTCCTGCCCACTCAGCCACACTCACTTGACAGCACCGAGTCAGCAGCGCTGCGCCCACCTGGCCACACCACCCAGCCATGTCAATTCAGTTATGTCCACCCAGTCACACCCACCCATCCATGCCAACCTGGCCACCATGAATCATCCTAGACCCATGCTTCATTTACTTTAAATTAGCTTTTACCCAAGGGTTGAAACTCTTTTGTTCTCAATCTGCCAAATAGTTTGTTTTATACATATTTCTCACTTCTTTAAATTGTACAGTCTGATAAAGAGATTGTCCCCAAGCTCCCTTGCTACATCGGCAACTGAACCATTTAAGGAAAATAAATTATTATAGCAAATAGCACCTGCATGAGGGACCATACCTGTTTCTGCTTGAGAATCCTATTTTCCATGATGTTCTGGTTGGACAATGACACAACAGGACATTCTCCAGTGTAAAAACCTTCATCCTCAAGAAACCGTGGTTCCATATTTTCAGGCATCTTCAGAGAGGGAGGCACTAGGAGGAAGATACAGATAATGTAACAGTATATGAGAACGACCTTGAGGGAAGCAGAAAAGAGATGCTACCTAGGAAACCATCAGACAAGAATGGGGAGGAAGGAGCCCATAGTTGCTAATATCAGAGATAAAAACTTAGGAAAGATGTCCTAACTTGATCAGGCTGTAAAGAGATGGCAAGAGATTTGTACTTTCAGACTTGCAAGATTTTGTTAATATAGCCTTGCATTAAAGTATAATTAGCTCATCTGCTCATGCTTCCTGTCTGATTTACCTGGAAGGGTTGAAAAGACAGAGATGCTTAACACTATTATTACTCCTACTCCTACTCCTGATTCCCTGGACAAATAATTGCAAGTTTTTTTGGCAAGACTTTTGGAAGCAGTTTGCCCTGGCTTTCTTCCTAGAGCTGAGAGGGATTGACCCAAAATCATCCAACTGTTTTTGTTTCTAAAGTGGGACTAGAACTGAGACTGCTGGTTTTCAGCTTGGTGCCCTAACCACTAGACAAACTGTCTCCTATAATTATTAACTAGTATTCATTAACTGTTTTTTACATTAATATTCTAGGTAGACATATTTTTTTTGCTTTTTGTTTATTTTGTTCTCTATTTGCTTTATTTTTTTAGTGAATTATAATACAGGATGATTCTGGAACAAAAGGATAGGAGACAGTTAAGTCTTAGTTACTTTGGCATCTAAGAAGAATGAATGAAACTATTCTGAAGTCTGCAACTGAAGTGGTCAAAATAAAACTAAGGAAAAAAATTAAGCTTTGAATAGCTATTTACAAGTCTAACTTAAAATATGGGCAGAAGTCAAGTGGAAGAAACATACAAATAGCTATCAAAAATTTTGAGCAAATCTTTTGGAAACAATTACCAACTATAATATAATATCTTTAGTAAGACAAATCAACTACCCATAGTATGCAAATTTTTCTTAAATATTCTTCAGAATACATTTTAACCAAAGCAAAAGAGAGAAGGGAGAAGAAAGAGGAACACATTAAATATAGGTTCCCTATTAATGGATTTTTAAAAATCACATGATCAAATGGAAGAGGTGTTCTGAAGACTTAATTGGATTTCAGAAATACATATTGGAATTACCAAACAAGAACTACTTTTCTCTTGAAAATATAAATCATACCTACTGTAATTCATAGTGAATTACAATATGTAAAACAAAACTTTACTCTCTGGGAGACAATTGATTTATCTAGTTCATATAACTTGCTGTATATCAGACATACTCAACTAAGTACTTCTCAAGTATGTTGGAATTATCATTCCCAGTGACTGCAATGGAATTCTGGAATTTGTATTCTCTATAAATGGAGAACATCAGGTTGGGAAAGCTTGGTCTCTTGAACAGGTAGTAATACTTGGCAATCTGAGATAAACATCTTAGCCCTATCTGTAACTGATGGGCACAGCATCCAGCATATTTTCCTACAAAATATCTATTTGGCTTCCTGTAGCAATTTCTAGTCTTGGTTTTAAATACAGATATACAATTTTCAAAGTTGTTGTGAAACTTCAAGAAAAGAAACATAAATGTGAGAAAAACTGAAATAGATACAACACTTATTTTTGGTGCTCACCAGAGATGCAAAAATACTTTATGTTTTATAAAATGTATTATGTTCACAGTACGCTAATAAAATTAAAAAGTAAAACTTATTCCAATAAAAATTAAAAATGCACTGATTGAATCTACTTTACAATGCTTTAGTTTTTATTACAAACGATGCTAAAAGCTCTCAAACTTTAAGGAATTTAGCATCTATTCACTGTTGCTAGTTTTGAAGCAGAGTCATAACTGAATAGAACAGAATACTGCAGAATGATTTCCAGAGCTTGTGGCAGGACCTTAGCAGGATAGGCTATAGGCTTACTTTTTCAGGGGTTTTACCAGTGTATAAGGAACAAAATGGAAAAGGCCAGAGTATAGCAGAATTCAATATGTAGCTAAAGGAGTGGTGTAAAGGGGAAGGCTTTAGTTATATTAGTCATGATGTCTGCAGCTGATCCAATGAAAAAGTATAAAAGAGATGACTTGCATCCATCAAAGAAAGAGACTGAGTTATTCAGCAATAAATTCACAGACTTTCTGGAGAAATATTTAAACTGAACAACAGGGACAGTGAGTTAATTGATACAGAACATTCCTGTCCCCAGCAATCTAAAAATTATAGGGTTAGCAGTGCATGTAACATAGAGTTGTGTGTGAACAAGAATATCAACCTACCTGTCAAAAATCAAGCTTTTAATAGTGAGTGCCACACCAAGTGCACTAATCAAACAGGTGGTAAGAAAATAGGGGAACTCAGGCACCACACAGGCTAGAAAGTACAGGGTCAGTCATAAAGGACTCAAGTGTCTATATACCAACACACAGAGTATGTGCAATAAACAGGGCAAACTAGAAATTCAGATAAATGAGGGCAGATATGATATTATTACGGAAATTTGGTGGGATGAAACCCACAAATGGAACACACTGCTAATCGGATTTAAATTATTTAAAAGAAACAGACCAAATAAAAGAGGAGGTGGAGTTGCTCTCTATATAAGAAATAACTACATCTCTACAGAAATAGAGCACAACAATAATGAAAACCATCTCAAATGCATTTGGGTCAATATAAAAGCAGGGGAAAAAATGACATTGCCATAGGTGTATACTTATAGGCCACCCAACCAAACAGAGGAAATAGATGAACTTTTTGCTAGTTAGCTAACTAAGGTATGTAGGAAGCACCTCACAATAGCAATGGGGGACTTCAATTACCCTGACATCAACTGGGAGTCAAACTCTGCACCAAGTGGAAGATCAAACAGATTCCTGACAAACCTAGCAAACAACTTTGTCTGCCAAAAAGTAGAGAAGGAAACTAGGGGATCAGCCATTTTATACCTAATTCTCACTACAGAGATGAAATGATAGAAGGCATTGAAGCCACAGGAACCTTGGGAGGGAGTAATCATGCAATATTGGAATTCAACATTATGCAAGCACAAGCAATAGAATAGAGTCAAACGAGAGTCTTGGACTTTAAGAGAGCTAATTTCAATAAGCTTAGAGAAAGCTTGGGAAGGATTCTATGGATGAGAATCCTCAAGGGGAAAACAACTCAAAAAGCTTGGGAAATTTTGAAAAGTGAGATTATAAAATCCCAGTCTAGCACAATACCAATGAAAAAGAAAAATAACAGCTCTCAAAAGAAACCAGCATGGCTGCATAAAGAACTCTCTGATAAATTGAAAAATAAAAGGGACAAGTATAAAAAATGGAAAGAGGGGGACTTAACTAAGGCAGAATATCAGCAAATAGCACGAGCCTACAAAGATGAAGAGAGGAAAGCTAAGCCTCAAAATGAACTAAGGTTTGCGACACAAGTCAAAAATAACAAAAAAAGCTTCTTTCAACATGTAAAAAACAAGAAAAAGTTAAGGAAATGATTGGTCCATTAGTAGGAGAAAGTGGCAAGAAGGTGACAAGCAATAGAGAGAAAGCAGAACTATTTAACTCATTTTTTGCATTTTTATACAACGGGAAAAAACCTATCAAAAACAGTACAGTAAAAAAAGATTAGAACACAAGTTAAGATAGGTAAGAAAATGGTAAGTGAGCACCTGCCCACCCTGGACGAGTTCAAATCACCAGGACCAGATAGATTACACCCCAAGGTTCTGAAGGAACTGGCAAATATGATCTCAGAACTACTGAACTATATCTTTCAAAGATTCTGGAGCACTGGGGAATTACCAGAAGACTGGAAAAGAGCTGATGTCGTTCCCATCTTCAAAAAAGGGAAAAAAAAATGGATCCAGGAAATTACAGATCAGCCTGACCTCAATATCTGGAAAGATTCTGGAAAAAATAATCAAGCAACGAATCAGTGAACACCTAGAGGCAGACAAAGTCATTACCAAAAGCCAACATGTGTTTATCAAAAACAGATCATGCCAGACAAATCTTATTGCATTATTTGCCCAAGTGACAAAATTAGTGGACCAGAGGAATGCTGTGGATATAATTTACTTGCACTTCAGTAAGGCATTTGATAAGGTAGACCACAACCTACTACTTGATAAGATAGAAAAATGTGGGTTAGATAGCATCACCACCAGATGGATTGGTAGCTGGTTGACCGGCCATACTCAGCACATGGTCCTCAATGGAACTGTATCTACATGGAGGGAAGTGTGTGGTGGGGTGCCCCAGGACTCTGTTCTGGGCCCAGTGCTCTTCAACATCTTCATCAATGATTTGGATGAGGGGATAGATGGGGAACTCATCAAATTTGCAGACAACACCAAGCTGGCAGGAATAGCCAACACTCCAAAAGATAGGCTTAAGATACAGAAGGATCTTGATAGACTTGAACATTGGGCACTATCTAACAAAAAGATATTCAATGGTGAAAAAAGTAAGATTCTACATTTAGGTAAGAAAAACCAAATGCACAGTATAGTATAGGTGGTACCTTGCTCAATAGTAGCAACTTTGAGAGGGATCTCGAAGTCCTACTGGACGATCGCTGAAATATGAGCCAGCAGTGTGCTGCTGCAGCTGCCAAGAAAGCCAACACAGTGCTAGGCTGCATTAACAGAGGGATAGAATCAAGATCACGTGAAGTATTAATACCACTTTACAACGCCTTGGTAAGGCCACACTTGGAATACTACATCCAGTTTTGGTCACCACGATGTAAAAAAGATATTGAGAGTCTAGAAAGAGTACAGAGAAGAGCAACAAAGATGGTTAGGGGACTGTCTAGCTTAATGAAAAGAAGAACTAGGGGTGACATGATAGCAGTGTTCCAATATCTCAGGAGTTGCCACCAAGAGGAAATCAAGCTATTCTCCAAAACACCTGAAAGCAGGACAAGAAGCAATGGATGGAAACTAATCAAAGAAAGAAGCAACCTAGAACTAAGGAGAAATTTCCAGAATAATTAATCAGTGGAACAACCTGTCTCCAGAAGCTGTTAATGCTCCAACACTGGAAATTTTTAAGAAGAGACTGGACAGCCATTTGTCTGAAATGGTATAGGGTTTTCTGCCTGAGCAGGGGTTTGGACTAAGTGACCTCCAAGGTCCCTTCCAACTTTATTGTTGTTGTTGTTGTTGTTAGCCAAGTGTGATTGAACACACAAGGAATTTATCTCTGGTGCATAAGTGTACATATAGAGAACAAAGTATATAATCATCAGATACCAACAGAAAAGATATGAGAAGGATAATAATAATACAACCATACTACAAAATATGAATAAAATATTAACAGAAGGCAGAAGAAACAAAAGAAGGTACCAACATTATAGTAAAACAAAAATAATTCAAGGTTTTGTCCTTCACTACTTCATACAAAAACTATTAAATTTTAACTTTCAGAAAAAAGGTTAATAAATAAAAAAAACCCAGCAACATTTGTAATCTATCTTTTCCATTATAAAACATTGATCTCAATTTAAATCTACCATTCCACTTCATTTGAGCATTGTGCTTTATCATTTACATGGACTTTGATATTACCCATTCACACAACTCTTGTTATTTTTATTTGATAATACTACAAATTTAGACCACTATTTTTAACTGTATGTTTTCCTAAGTTCTCATTTTTCCCCATTCCCCATTCACATCTTTATTTTTGAGTGTTAACTCTTTTTTAAAACCACATCTATTTAGTCCTACCCTCCTAAATTTTAATCTTCAAGTCTTTAGCTCAGGGGTGTCAAATTGCCGGCCCATGGGCTGGATGCGTCATGCGGAAGCTGCACCTACCCCAGCTCTGGCAATGGGAAAAAAGTTGCGATACCTCACTACATGTTACGTGACACGGCGAGTTTGACAGCCCTGCTTTAGTTTCTTTAAGAGCTGAAACAACAATGGCAAACTACTTCCAAATAATCTTGCCAAGAAAACTGCAAAGAGTTGTCCAGGCAGTTGCCAGGAGTCAAGATTAAATCAAAGCTACAAATATGCAATCCATGCATCGTTACAATAAGAAAATGGATGTTACTTAGTAAAATCTTAGACAAATTACCCACCAAGAGGCATTTCAAAATTAATGTATCAAAAAACAAGGTCTTTCTCTTGAACTATAGTCATAATGAAAAAAAATAGATGATAGATATAGACAGACAGACAGCTATATATTACATCTGATAAATTAACCTGTATCACACAAAATTTCAAAATAATTCCAGCCAACATACCTCTTAACATACTGGGAATAAACAAAATATCTTTCTCTTTCTGCACCCTTCCAGAATAGCTTTCATATTCTGCAGATCTAATTTCTAAGAAATCTTGGCATGTCTGTTCTATAACAAATACGCCATCATCCCCTTTATCATGGAAAAGAAGTTCCTCTTCATCCTGTATTTACCACATAAATGTTTTCAATCAGAACTCAAGGGCAGCAGAACTGTGTTTTACAGGTTTGCAATCATAGGAATTTTTGCAAAGGAAAATATTTCCATCAAAGAATTATCTTTATCAGGACACCTATACTTGATGTTTGAGGACTATCTCAAGAAAATTATATATAATATATCAGACCACTGGTGACTATTACTGATTACAATGAGGGTGAAGGTTCATTCTCCTAGCTCATTACCAGGCTAAGTAAAATCTTCAATGGAGTTTAGGGGATGTCAGTGTCAGTGTTCTTCTATTTATAAGGGCTTCAAGTGTGGGTGTATTGAGGATCTTGTGATGGATCATGTGTGAGTCATCAGTGAATCTTGTGAAGGGGAGGTTATATCAGGTCAGGGTCATTGGGAGATGAACTGCTGGGGGGCTTGTGTGGGTTGCTTGAGGGTTGGTGCTGTCTCTGGTTGGCTGTGCAGTTCATTTGTATTCTGAAGGGATCGTAGGCTGGTTGTAGGTCAGTGTGTCTGTTGATGGAATTGTTTATGGAGTACCAGGCTTCAATGAATTCACAAATGTGGCAGGTAGTAGTGGCCAATGTTTTCTGTGTTGTTCCAATAGAACTGGTGCTGTTTGGTGTCAGTGTGGGTAGAGATTACAGATTTGGGGTCGTGGCATTTGACTGTCAACTGGTGTTCATGGATCCTGATTTTTAACTGATGTGATGTTTGTCCCACATAAAGTTGGTTGCAATTGTTACAGTTGATTTTATAGATTACATTGTTTCTTTCATTCTTCTGTATCTTTTCTTGACTCTATAAATTCCCCAGAACCATTTCTCCAATGCATCAAACACACAAGATCAGTAAGGAAGAAATTATGGTCTCCTTCGACGACACCACTCTCTTCATCTCGATTGATATCGACCTGGCTAAACAAAGCATATACCCTCTTCTCAGTGAACACCATACCTACAAAGATAATCCACTACAGAACACTCTATGTCTACAGAAACAATCATGAAACTCCTGGATCTATGCCTCAACACATAATTCAAGTTCAATAGAAAAATCTACAAGCAAGTACAGGTACCCCGAAGGGATCACCCATATCAGGCCTAATAGCAGAAGCAGTCATGCAATGACTTGAATCTATAGTTCTACTCACCATCCAACCAAAATTCTGAACATACTATGTCGATGACACCTTCATCATCATCAAACACTCCCAAACTGAAGAAACACACCACCTACTTAATAACATATTCCCTGGGATCAAATTCACACATGAAGCGGAAACAGACAACAGACTCTCATTCCTCAACATCAACATAAGGACACTAGATAATGGAGAACTGGAAACCTGCATTTACCACAAACCCATGCACATGAGCAGATCCTCAGCTTCGCAAGCAACCACCTCATCGCACACAAAAGAAGCTGTCTCCAGACCCTCTTCAGAAGGGCCAGGACACACTGCAATACCACAACACTAAGAAAAACAGAAGAGAAATGGCTGCTTGACATCCTTCTCCATAACGGCTATCCCAAAAACTTCATATTCTGTCATATAGCACACAAATCACAACACACTACACAGCCAACTACCAGGCAACAACTAACTCTACCATACACAAAAGGGGTGTCGGAAATGACAGCCAGAATTCTCCAACCCCTAGGAATAGCAATAACCCACAAACTCACAGCCACACTCCACCAGGAATTATCCAGAACCAAAAACAAGATACAGAAGGACGAAAGAAACAATGTAATCTACAAAATCATCTGTAACCATTGCAACCAATTCTATGTTCTATTGCAAACTGATTACAATTTCAGGAAGGTGTTGTAACTCAGCTGTTAAGCCTAAAATTTTATATTTCAACATAACTCAAATATACATACATGCTTCTCATAACTGTAATTTACAAACAGCATAAATGATCCATATTGATTTTTTATTTTTAACATGGATACCCATCTGGGCATTGCTGAAATATGTAAAAATGATCTAGATAAAAAAATAAGCTTCCAATCCTCTTTATAGTCTTATAATTGAAGTCCCAGTAATAAAACTTAACCCTCAGAAAATAATGCTATGAGGACATAGAACCACACCAGACCCAATGTTTCACTGGTGTGTAAGACATAATTAGTTCTACCTCAATTGTGGGTGGCAGGCCAGAAAATTAATCTAGATGTATTTTTGCACCTTGGCAACTTTTAACATGGGTGGGCATCAATTCCCTAGAATTCCCCACTAGCATGAACTTACCACATAGCACCGACCACCTTGCTGGCTGTGGAATTTTGGGAGTTGATATGTTGATGTGTGTGTGTATGAAGTTACTATCGTGTGTGTGTGTATACATATACACACACACACATATACTACATGTATTCTATTTTTACTAAAATTGAACTTTCTAAGACAAAGATTCTAATTTATAATATTTAGTAAACATATGGGATTACAAGAGAAATAATGGAATTAAAAAGAGTTATAAAAAAGGGTGAGGGATGAATTGGATTAGGATGAAGAATAAAGCATGAGTTTTAGCAATGAGTAACAGCAGAACTTTTGTGTACAAAGATGGCAGTTAGATTGTTCAGAATCTGTCAGTGAATGCTGAACAAATCTTCATAATTTTCATCACACAATTCTTGCATTTTGTGGCACTATGCATTCATTTATTTTAGAATTATCTTTACACTACTGAGAAGCTATACTATTTCCTACTGATATTCCTTGTGTGATGCTTACTATCTTGGTTAATTCAATGGGTATAAAATATTCCCTCAAAGTAAAGAAATTTTCTTTCTAAGTAAAAAGCATAAAATTTAACTTTTTTCCAAATAGGATTACTATACAGTAGAATGATGTAAAGGATATCTATGGCAGATAATATTTGGTCTTAACAAATGTATTGCTTTTAGCCACAAATAAGCAATTTTGTATCATTTTTACTTAAATTCTCCATTATATGTAATATAGGACTGTCTTAAGATGTGATTACCTATGTGCATCTATGGAAAGAGGAGAGGAGGGGAGAGGCATGATATTAACTACAAGCTTCCACATTTTGTTTACAACAAAATACAACCAGTCAGCTAAACATTTTTTTAAAGAGATATGTACATGCTTCTTCAAGATTACCATTTCATTCTCTTCTTGTTCTTCCTGACTGCTGAGTGTAGATTTCTGGTTCTCCCTGCCCTTGTCATTTAGATCTGATACATTCTTTTCATTTTTTTGACCATCATTCCATACATTCTCTTCCCCAGGATCAAAATTGAAAATAAAGAAATTATAGGCTTCTTCAGAAGAAGGATAACCCGTCTGAATCTAATGAGGAAAAGTAATTTTTTTTTAAAAAAAAATTCATCATACAACTCAAGAGCTAACTCTGTAACAGAATTAAAAAATAATTATTACTATTTATTCCTCATAGAGAACTACAACAGTAACTATACATTTCTGACCATTTTACTCAAACAGTCTTCTCAAAAACAAATGTTTCTGCACGCATATACCAATTTTCATTTAAAATTCCCTCGTGAAATACTGAGTGTCCAAAACCTGCATTCTTCAATTCTGAACTCTAAGTTTCTTACTATCCTCTCCAGGCCCTGTTGAAGATGATATAAAAGTTGAGTTGAAATGTAATACTGACTCTAAACAAACATCTAGAAACAAATAAAGTTAGAACTAAAAGCCAGCATGGGTTTCTTCATGCTAAACCAATCGTATTTGATTATTTGACAAAGTGACTAAATTAGTAGATCAGCGAAATGCTGTGGACATAGTATACATACACTTCAGCAAGGCATTCGACAAACTAAACCACAACCTACTTCTTGGTAAGCTAGAAAAACGTGGGATAGACAGCATCACCACCAGATGGATTTGTAACTGGCTGACAAACTATTCAATGAATAGTCCTTAATGATACTACATTTACATGGAAGGAAGGAACAGTGGGGTACCAGAAGGTTCCATCTTAGACCCAGTATTCTTCAATATCTTCATAAATAGTTGAGGAAACAGAAGGGGAACTCATCAAATTTGCAGATAATACTAAGCTGGCAGGAATAGCAAAAAACAAGCTCAGGGTCCAAAAAGATCTTGACAGACTTGAAAAATGGACCTTATCTAACAAAATGAAATTTAATGTGGAGAAAAGCAAGGTTTACACCTGGGCACAAAAACCCAAAGGTACAAGTACAGATTAGGGAAAACCTGGCTCAAAAACAGCAACTGTGAGAGGGACCTTGGAGTTCTAGTGGATGGTCACTTAAATATGAGTAAGCAGTGTGCAGCAGCAGCCAAAAAAGCTAATGCAATCCTTGGTTGTATAAACAGAGGCAAAGAATCAAAATCACATGTAGTATTAGTACTGCTTTATAAAACCTTAGTAAGGCCACACCTGGAATACTGCATCCAGTTTTGGTCACATTACAAAAAAGATGTTGAGACTTTGGAAAAAGTGCAAAGAAGAGCAACTAAGATGATTAAAGGCTTGGAGACTAAAACATATGAAGAATAGCAGGATTTGAATTCGGCTAGTCTAGAGAAAAGAAGGACTGGGGTGTCATGATAGTATACCAGTATTTGAGAGGCTGCCACAAATAAGAGGGGATCAACTTATTTTCCAAAGCATCAGAGAGCAGGACAAGTAACAATGGATGGAAACTAATCAAGGAGAGAAGCAACCTGGAATTAAGGAGAAACTTCCAAACAGTGAGGACAATTAACCAATAGAACAACTTGCTATTAGAAGTTGTGGATGCTTCATCATTGGAGATTTTTAACAAGAGACTGGATAGTCACTTGTCTGAAATAGTATAGGATCTCCTGCTTCAGCAGGGAGTTTGACTAGATGACCTCCAGGGTTGCTTCCAGCTCTATTTTGATTGAAACACCACTTCTCAATCCATACTGCCTACTGGAGGACATTTATTTAGTCACATTTAGAAATACAAAATTTAACAGTTTACTATACAGTGTTTTAAGAGTTTTATATTCATCAGCAAAATATACTCCACATTTTTGGAACACATTAAATAATTTGACTCATCAGCAGATTTCTATTTATAGATATGAATGGAAGAAATGGAAAAAAATATGTCAAGATTTTGGGCATCTTGGAGCTGATATCAAATCTTGCATAACCTCTCCTTTTGCACTGTGGGTCATGGAGTCACATTACAACATCTTTCAACTTTGGAAGTAGAAAGCTAAATACAGCTAATGGTGCATAAAACATATGTTTCTGGACCATTTCCTAATCTTTAAGTTACAATTATTTGTAATTTTCATCATATATTACTTTGTTTTTCAAGGTCATATATGCTCAAGGGTATTTTTTTAACCATACTTAATTCATAATTCAGTCTTAAATAATCACAAAATAACCTGAAAAGCCATCACTATTCAACTGATACTCATCACCTGTGATTTTTGTTTGCATCTTCTAACAGCATCATGAAACTTCACTCTTGCAGATACCTTGCCTTTTTTTCTTTGTACTGCGCTCAGCAAATGATCACTTATCTGCAAATATATATATGGATAAGAACTGCATTAATTAATTTATATTGACTTCAAATTTTCTGCATAATAAATAAGTGTAGTAAATACTATAGACATATTTTAAATTATGCCTTACCAGAAAATGGAGAAATAAATGTGCATTAAATTTTTAATAAGCAGAGAAAATGGAAATATATCGAGGAAAGTAGAAGATTCTTAAGAACAAATTTTTATGCACAGCAATAGACTCAACCTCTTTTAGTATCAAGAAAGGGTAGTTGAGATAAGCCTGAATATTACTATTACTATATTAATATTGGTTCATCCAGAGCTGGATCATGTATCACATTGCATCAGCAGATCTGAATTATCAAGTACAAACAAAAACTCAATAGGTCATCCAAACAAACCACTTTGGGAAGTTCAGGAAGCTGCCACAAGTCCAGAGAAAATCCAGATTCCTGATCTCAAATTTATTTGGATTTCAGGATGTTCAGTCTGCTATTTTAATATAATACAAGTCTCAAAGACATCTCTATATTTCAGCTCATGGCCTGGTAGTGGGCCATGGCCCATGGGTTGGCGACCACTGTATTACATTACTTATTTAAGTTATGATATTCTCTACAATAAAGCACACAGAGTTATGATGGAGCAAATTAGAAATACTCCAGAAAGGAAAAAGCTATTAGTAAAGCATTTAAAGAAGAACTTAGAATTTTAGAAAACAGATCTAAACTTTAATACATATTTCAGTGATCCATCCCATGTAATAGCAGTGATCTTGTTCAGAGATGGGGAAATTTTAGCTCCATTCAATCCTCATTTTCAACTCCCATGAAGTCTTTCTTTGCTGCCACAGAGCACTAAAAAGGATTGCTCTGGGATCAACTGTCAGGCAAAAATCCAGAAATTGAATTTTCCAAGCCAACAGTACCCACTCCAACCACCTCAGAGTCCTCTTCAATTACTAGGAATTCGTCATAAAAAAACTCAGCGTGCCAAGATTAGATTTGTTTCCATTTTTGCATATTTTTCACTGATTATTCTAATTTGGCCCAAGGTCATGTCTGGTTGCTAATGAAGCTGCTAATTAAAAAAGAGAGGAAAAATGTAGGCTTGAGCAATGTTTTGTCTCCATCCAGCCAATCAAAGATATCAAAAAAGATGTGAAATAATAATTCCATCACAAGGGAATGAGATGGGCAATTCTATTTTTTGCTTCTCAATGCCATCAAACATGAAATTAAATTGATTCTTGTTGAGCTACAGATTATTTTTCTTCTTTCTTAAAAATTACACATAACTATACTTCTGCCTATCTACTGTGTCCCAAATATACCAAAAATCCCCAGTATGATTTCTCCAAAGAAACAGCGTTATGAGAAGCATTGTTGGGAACAGGATTTCTGACGTCTTACTCGTGCAGCCTTCAATTTCTCTCTCATGCGTTCTCGCACAGAAGTCTCTGCAAACTTTGTCCCCAAGGTAGATGGAACTGGAGGAAAACCTAGAGATAGAATTACATCATTACAACAATAAACTGTCTTTTAAAGTTGAATTTTGTTGATGGTGCTCTCAAGGAAATGTACACACCATTTTCTTGAAAACAACACAGTAATGTTTTTAGCTATCTTTCTTTCAAAGATCTGTTTATTCTTTTATACAACTCTGATAGTCATGCAGCCAAGTATTAATACATGGCAATTCTTTATTTTATTCATTTTGTTACAGAGAGTTGTGAGAGGTAGAGAATTCCTGAGTTACAAAATGATTTGTATGTTGCTTAAAGATCTTTCAACTACATAGTTTCGTAGAAGAGCCTTTCCAGAAAGCTAAAAGATTATTGCCTGTTTTTAAACCACACTGCATAGCAAAGATGACACTAAGCCTTTCTTACAGCATTAAAAGCGTTAAATTTTAGAACAGCTTTGGCTAGAGAGAAATTATGATAGGCACAACTAAGAAAACTTGCTGAAGATAACAGAAGTAATGCAAAAGAGAAATTCTGTCCCGGAGAAGGGAAGAAAGAACCCAAACAATCCGTAAGGACCCACTTCAACCCCACATCTTAAGAAAGCAGAACTCTTGGAGACAGTTTCCTCCAACAGGAACTTTTATTAAAAGTAGTTGATAGCAGGCATAATAGACAGGATCTGAGGGATTCCTTTACAGATCGATACTTTAAAGTGTCCCCAAGCAAACCCCACCCCACAGTTCATCCGGATGATTCAGACCGGCCAATCTCCAGATGTTAAGTCCATTGTGGGAAAGGGGAGATAACATCGATCCAGCTCCAGTTGTAGCACAATGTTCAAGCACTCTTCTCACCTCCTTTTGAGACAGGAGAAATAAGCCAGGCTTGGGAGGTTGTATTTCTTTCTCCCCCCCTTTTCCTAGTTGACAGGTTAGGGAGAAGAAAGTCCAGAGAGAGATGCAGTGTAGAAAGCAAATTGTTACATTGTAGCAGCAGCAGACACAGAGGCAATAACAAAGCAAAAGGTTATATTGTAGCGAATAGAGGAAGCAAAAGCAACAACCCCGCAGGCATATCCCCCTCCCCCTTAGGATTATGGCAGAACCCAGGGAAAAGTGAGATTTGTTTTTAGATCAGAGCAGATAGATAGGAATGAAATAGAAATGGATTCTGGCACAATCTTTATATTAAAGTTTGTAGACTGAGAGGCTCCATGGTTGAATGAGGCATGGGGGAACTACCTGAGGACTGAAAAAGAGCGGATGTGGTTCTCAACTTCAAAAATGGGGGGAAAAACAGGTCCAGAAATCAAAGACCAATCAGCCTGACATCAATACCTAGGAAGATCCTGAAAAAGAGCTGATGTGGTTCCCATCTTTAAAAAAAAGGGGAAAAAAGAGATCCAGAAACCACAGACCAATCAGCCTGACATCAATACCTGGGAAGATCCTGGAAAAGATGATCAAGCAACAAATCTGGGAATACCTAGAAGCAAACAAAATTATAAACAGAAGCCAACATGATTTCATCAAAAACTGATCAGGCCAAACAAATCTTATTTCATCCTTTGACAAAGTGACTAAATTAGTGCATCAGCAGACATGATATAATTGGATTTCAGTAAAGCATTTGACAGTGAAGACCACAAACTACTTCTTGGTAAGCTAGAAAAATGTGGAATAGATAGCCCCACCACCAGATGGATTTGTAACTAGCTGACAAACCATATTCAACATGTAATCCTAATGGAACTACATCAACACGGAGGGAAGTGGGCAGTTTGGTACCCCAGGGTTCCATTTTAGGCCCAGTTCTCTTCAATATCTTCATACATTATTTTAGATGAGGGAATAGAAGGGGAACTCATCAAATTTTCAGATAACACTAAGCTGGCAGGAATAGCCAACACCCCAGAAGATAAGCTCAAGATCCAGATGGATCTCGACATACTTGAACACTGGGCTCTATCTAACAAAATGAAATTCAGTGTGGATAAAAGTAAAATTTTACACTTAGGCAAGAAAAAATAGAATAGGGAAAGTACAAGTACAGAATAGGGAAAATATGACTCAAAACCAGTAACTGTGAGAGGGATTTTGGAATCCAAGTGGACAGTCACATAAATATAAGGCAGCAGTATGTGGCAACAGCCAAAAAAGCCAATGCAATCCTAAACTGCATTAACAGAAGAATGGAATCAAGATCACATAAAGTATTAGTACCATTTTACAAAGGTAAAATGTTAGTTAGAGCACACTTGGAATACTGCCTCTAATTTTAGTCATCACAATATAAAAAAAATGTTGAGACATTAGAAAAAGTGCAGAAAACAGCAATAAGGATAATTGGAGGCTAAAACTTGAATGGTTGCAGGAATTGGGTATGTCTTGTCTAGTGAAAAGAAGGACCTGGGGTGACATGACAGCATCCTTCCAATATTTGGAGGGCGGCCACAAAGAAGAGGAGGGTCAACCTATTTTCCAAAGCACTAGAAGGCAAGACAAGAAACAATGGATGGAAACTAATCAAGGAGAGAAGCAACCTAGAACTAAGGAGAAATTTCCTCACGGTGAGAACAATTAACAAGTGGAATACCTTGCCTTCAGAAGTTGTGGGTGTCCCACCACTGGAGGCTTTTAAGAAGAGACTGGACAGCCATTTATCTGAAATGGTATAGGGTCTCCTGCTTCAGGAGGAGGTTGGACTAGAAGACCTCCAAAGTCCCTTCCCACTCTGTTATTCTATGTTCTATGTTGTCCTTTATTCTTTGCTGGGGGTCAATCGAACAATCTTTTATTAAGGTCACAGACCAGAATAAAAATTAAAACACTAAAATAAAATAAAACCAACACAGTGAGACATAATAGTGTATTAGAATTCATGGTGGAATTATCAGTGGGTGACCAAAGTCTGTCTAATTTTACAGACAATATAGCAGAATTTAGCTACATTCAAAGAAATTGTATAATACTGATCCAACAGTAATAGTGGTACATAAAAGAGATCAGAATTTGCCAGATATGCTATTTTGTCAGGTAAGGAGCTATAATATGAGTCAATAAAACTATAGAGGATATAATAGGACATGAGCTTTGGTTTCAATGTCCCCTTGTCCACAGGGCCAAAATCTCAGTTCATATGGGACTTTTTTGTATAGGCCTTTCAGAACTGTTGTGGGGAGAATGTTATAACGTGCTAGAGTTAATGCCCTCTGAAATTTAGAGACATTTATATGATATAAGCTTTTGCTGGTTTAGGAAAGAATCTTTACTAAAGCTAAACCTACAAGCACAAGTGTGCACAACAGTGGAAAGATTTATTTATTTACCATATGGCATACAATGTCAGGGAAATCTACAACTGCTAGACACAATGCAGTCCTCACAGCCTCATGGTGCTTACGTGCTTATCCTTGGTGTACCATAGGGGTGAACTAACTTACACCAATTGATTAGTGGTGTTCAGGTTGCTGGCTCTTCCAGGCTCCTCTACTGGTCTCACCTTGTCCTGCCTCGCTTTGCCTCACCTTGCTTGTGTTGCATTGCCTCACATGCAGCCAGGTCCAGTGCTGGCTTTTACTCTCCATACACACAAATGCACTAGGTTTGTCCCATCAAAGTGGTACTCATTTATCTATTTTCAGTATTGCATGCTTTCAAACTGCTGAGTGGGCAGGAGCCGGGAAGCAAGCGCAGAAGATCACCCTATCTTGGAGAGCCAGATTCAAACTGCCGGAGTGCAGACCATTTCTGGCCAGCAGTTCTAGTGTCATTAAGTCACTGCATTCCAGTGAAAAGAAATTAGACACCATAACAGGTTCAAATCAACTAATTTCCCAGCTCAGTCGTTCTTTCGGGGGACGGCATGTCAGATCCACCATGCTGGTGTCCTACCATTCTGTTGGAGGGAATGGGGAAGGAAGGTTTCTGGCATTCTTTGCATGCTTTCACTTTTGCTGTAACCACTAGAGAAGGGAGGGGGATTGTCTTCAGAGACAAAACAAATTCTTTCCCACCCAGTGCCAGCTGGTTCCAAGACCGTCATGCCCTGAGAGTGACCTGTTATCTACCCAGCACCTCAGTATTCTCATAACATCTTTATGGCATCATATTGGCTGCTAGTGGACTGGTCAGGGGGGGTGGGTTTGGGGGAAAACAAAAGAATTGGTTTGCGCTTTGAATGGGACCTTCAGATTCCGCCTGGCTTCTCTGCATCCACTATTTCTCAGTAATAGTTCTTTTTGATTAAACTTAACGGAGTCAAGAGTTTTACTTTCCTGAGGGACCAGCTGGGTCAGGTCCTTACATTAGGCGGAATCTGCAAAATTGTTTAATTCAGAGAGGCACTTAGCACCTAGACCACAACAGGACTGTGAGGCAAGGTCACCAAGCTATGACTGAATACACCGAGGAGTTTTATGATCTGGCATACCAACTCAATGACTAGCCAGAGACCATTTCTACCAGCTGCTTCAAAGACAGATTGAACGATAACCTGTACAATTCCTATGTCTTGAGAGGGGCCCCCGCAACCCTCCATGACTGGCATGTCCTACCTGAGGAGGTGGAAATTCACCAGACAGGCAACATGTACTGCGCAGCGCTGCCATGGAAGAAATCACCCCCAGAGAAGAGGGAAACGGTCAAACCACAAGCTCTCCAGGTTCGCTCCACTGCCTTTCAAGTGCGGCCAAGAAGGGCACAGAGAGGCGAAAAAAGCAAACCCCAGCCCCATGGGGAAGGACACCAAAGCACCACTGCAAGGCAGAGAAACTGCGCTAAAAGGAGTGGAGGTCATTGAGTTCACCTCATCGCCAAAACAGGCTGAGAGAACTCCAACCCCACCAGATGACCGCCAGGGATTGACCAACACTGACTCCAATGACAACCCCCTGGTAAGTGGCCCAATTACACTTCTAACCATCCCCACAAAATTGACCTTTCGAGAATTGGGGCTAAAAGTCAATTAGATTAGAATAGAACTGGAAGAGACCTTGGAGATCTTCTAGTCCAGCCCCTTGCTCATGCAGGAGA